GAGACAGGACAGATCAAAAAAAATTTAGGGAGAGTGGCGTTAGGAAGTCCAATTGTAACCCTGACCTAATAGTGCCGAGCACCCAGGCATCTGTCGTTGACTCCTCCCATTTGGAGGCAAAGAAGGCTAGGCAACATCCGATGGGTAGGGAGAATGAGGGATTACTTAGAGCGACGGAAGCAATGATCCCCCCCGAAAGGGCCGTTTACCAGTAGAAGGTTGTTGCCTGCCAGATGCTTCCACATGTTGGGAGTACGGCCAGTGAGAGCGGGGGAAGCGAGATGAGGTCTCCGCTCGAAAGGCAGCAGGGCTATAAGGAGCAGGGCGATAGTCGTCTTTCTTCCCAGAGGAAGAGAGAATTTTATGTTTATCTCTGGTTTCAATGAGATAAGGTTCCAGAGCATCGCCAAAAAGCTTATCGCCTGCGAATGGAACTGAAGCCCGCTTCCATTTTCAGCATGACTCCGCCTGCCAATTTCAGAGCCATAAAAGTCTTCTTGCTGCTACAGAAGATGCCATGGCCTTGGATGCAAATTTGGTGGAATTGAGAGTGGCATCCACAGTGAATTCCGCCGCTGTGATAATCTTATTAAGGTCTTGGTGAGGCCGAAGGTCAGAAGCAGGCAACCTATTCTGGAGTTGGCGCAGCCACCGTATGGATGCCCTCGTGAAAAAGGATGCTGCCGTTGAAGCCCAAACAGCCCATGCAGAGGCCTGGTGATTGCGCTTGAGGGTCTGTTCGAACCATTTATCATCCGGTTTCAGGATATCTTCTGAATGTCAACAGAAGGCACTGCCAGGGCATTGTCCAGAGCTGCACTGACATTGTAGAAATGCTTATCCAGAGAAGATGGGTGATGAACTGCCGAAGGAGAAGTGCACTGTTCCTTGACCATGTCCAGGAACAAAATGGGAGAAGGTAAAACGTCTGCATGCACTACAGGCTTGGAGAAGAGCAAATCCCCTTGGCTAGAGGGATTTCCTTGTGGCTCAGGAGCCACTTACTCTGGCGACAGCTTGGCAGTGACCAAGGCCTTGCTGAGTAATGGCCGGAAGAGAGTAGGTTTGAAGACCAATGCAGAGGATGTCTGCTCTGGGCGAGAATCCTCTTCCTCTGAAAGATTTTGGTCAAAAATCTCGCCCTCTTCACACTCTGAACGAGAGGAGTAACTGTGTTTGGATGGTGAAGCCCTTCCTTCCTCATCAACCTCCTCCCATTCTGGTAGAGAAGAATGGACCCTGAGGTCCTGGGGCCTGGGTAAATCAGGGTGATGAGGCAAGGAACTTATAGATTGAGAAGGGAGTAGGGCCTGAACCCTTTCCAGAGGTCGAAGAATTTGCTTGAAGTCTTCAGCCAATCCCTGCCTAATAGCCAATGAGACAACATCTTGGATATCCCCTGGTCTATGCTCAAAGGTAAAGGAAGAAGGCCGAAGGCCCACTGCTCTGGGAGTGAAGGTGGCTTCAGGCCTAGATTGAGGAGAGGTTTGAGGCCTGGAGGGAGGGGGAGGAGCATGGGGCCCAGAAGCCTGTTGGAAATAAGGCCCAGATCTGCTTAGATCCTGAGGATCTGATTGTACAGCAAGAGCCTCAGGAGAACAGGATGGAGGATGGAAAGGCTCATAGATAACTTCTCCTCCCCTGGGAGGGCTTGGTTGGGGCCCACGAGTATCACCTGAAACATGCTGTAGTTGCACTCCCTTCTGTTGAATAATTCTGTTGAATTGCCTCTCTAGAGCTGCATGTCTGAGCTTCTTTGCCCTCAATTCAGCCTGAGTTGCCTTCTTAGGGGCTAGAGCCTTAGCTTTGATTTTAGCAGCCACCTCCCTCTGGACTGATTGGGTGCATTGCCTATGTCTTTTTCTCTTATTGGGCTTAAGAGACTGTTCCACTGGGGGGGGGGGGAAGCTCTGCCTGAGCCTTATCTTGCTCCATTTGTAGAATAAAGGCTCTTGTGTTGGAAAGAAGCGGTTTAGAAATTTTTATATTAACCCCCTTAGGGTATAAATGGCCCCCGGGCTTACAAAATGGCCGCTTACCTCATGGTGGAAGGCTTGAATCCAAGATGGCGCTGACTGCAGGAAACAGGCTCCAAGATCGAAGAATCGCTCCTTAGGCTATACAGAGCCCCGAGCGAAGTCAGCAAGGGAAAAACGCAGCAACCAGCCACACGATCAGCTGGCTTGTGCTCTTATCAGTTTGCCAATCGTTTTTACGATCGCTCCAAACCGCAGGCGTGGGGGAGGTCTACAGACATTGCCTGCACAGAGCTCTGGTAACGCCTGCTCCCAACGTTGCAGGAGAGAGAGCCCTGCTCTCCTGGAAGAGCAGCTGCCCTGGGAGCTGCTTGAAGTGAGGAAAAAAGGTACTGAAGATTGCTGGTGAGTGCTATCTAACAGAACGCTTTCAGAAACACAGCTACTGACTGAAAGGAGCTGAGTCAAAAGCTGGGGTCTCTCCTGGGGGCTGGCTTTTATATCTTAGTACAGACTCAGCTAAATGACGTCATAGGAAGGAGTCAACCCATCCTGGGCTCTTGATGCAGCACGGAGGAGAAAGCATGGGAAGTACTTCTGACAAAAGGATAAAAAAATGAGGAATTACAGAAAAATTGCTGCTTCTCTGTGGAAGATTCTGTTACTTCCCAGTTCTCTCCATAAATGCATGTACTAATCCAAATGAGGTAAACAGATCCCTTATGTTTTATTATGTTACAGATATGCAATATACTAGATAGAAGTATTTATTTTGCATGGGATTTGAACTATTTAACAAGAAAACTGTAGTCACAATGGATTTCGTGAGCAGTTCCAAGTCCTAAAAACAAGTACATTACAACAGAGCACCCAATATAAATCACATTTTCTTATAGTTTATAGCTGAAAACTTATAAACAAATAGAAAGAGATGGTACAATCAGTTAGAAATTTTACAAATGGCTTTAAATTGCATAATATGCCCAATACACTGCACATTGTGACCTAATTTAAGATTTGGGAGCTGACTGAAAATTTTGTTGTTGTTTGAAAAAAACACAAAAACTTTTTATGTTCTGGAATATAATAAACTTGTGGACACTCGATCATGAACATTTAATCAATTCTCTACAAATAACTAAACTCAGTATGACCCTCAAACTATTATTTCTTTAAATAATAATCTTGCTATTCTAGATTTGACCTGAAAACATTTGTCAAGTTTTATGTTTTTCATTATGAACTCACAGTTCAGCATGTGCATTCCCTTTAGGGTAAGCAAAAATATATTCAAGAACAGTAGTGAACCATATACAGAACTGCCGAAAGAAGGCTGCTAAAAATATTAAGTCATTTTGCATGAAATTTCAGCATAATATACTTCAGTTCAAACTGGTATTTTATTCTTCACTTTTCAGAATAAAGAAAACCTATTTTAAAAATATATATTTATTGTTTGAAAATTACTTGGAGACATGATCAAGTTTTCATTTTAATCAATAAAAATAAAAGTGTTGTTTTGTACTGTATGCTTGGGGGGGGGGGGGGGAGGAATTTATGTTCCAAAGTGTGAATTCCAAAGTCACACTTCCTTCTGGCTCTAATTATACCTCATTATACATTAGGGTCCACTTCTAAATTAGGATCCACTTCTAAAAAGTCATCTGGAGTGCATAGAGGTATAAAAGTAGGACCATTCTGCAACTCTTAAAGCAATTGTGTATTTTTCTGGGATTGCATACTGCACTGCGGTCTGGGAAGATAAACTGCTACTTTAAAAAGATGCAACATTCTTAGTTAGATATGCTTCAAAACATCTGATGCACCATACAGCCCTACTATATAGCGCTATAAATTTACTGAACATTAGTATTTTATAACAGACAGCTTCATTTTATTCATTTATTCATTTATTCATTCCATTTGTATGACTGGCTATCTCACCAAGTGATTCTGAGAAATGAACATTTTTTTAAAAAAATAAAAAATATAAACATTTAAATATCTAGCAGCTAATAATAAATTCTATATCATAATCCCTAAATTAATTGAGAACCTGAATATTTTCCTTTACGTATTTGGGTATTGCACTATAATTCCATGAAAATATGGATATCTCACATTGCCTTCTCAATTATAATCTTGTACTGTGCCATAATTTTCAATGCAGTGGGCACTCTCCCTTTCATATATATTACAAAACTTGTAAAAAGCATGTGTGTAATTCTTAACTTCTGTAAGACAAACAACATGTAATAACACCATTCACTATAATGGAACAGAAAGTTTTGATAATTTCAGGTAAAAGGAATTGTGGACAAATTCTTCCACATTAGAAATATACTGTCAGTCGGAGTAGATAGTTTGACAGTTTACTCAAATGTATTTATGAAAGAGTAATAAATATATAAAGAAATAAAACAAATAGACAGAGATACACCGCAGGAGAAGCCATTGTCTATACCTGGTCTTCAGCTGTTCAGTACTCTTAGAAATCAAATATAAATTCATGTTAGATGCACTCTATTTCATTCATTTTTCTGTCATCCTGGTGCTTCAATTATTTCTAGAACCATAATGGAGCTTGGTTTACCAGCAAATTTATTCCACTAAAAAGAGCAAAATATCTCAGTGGAGCCCACATGTATGTTTTGTTTTTTTAAAAAATGTAAAAAGAAAAAACCCTTAGAAATCCCTGAACATATTTCAGTCGTTTTAGCGGTTTCAAATGATATAAATTTGATACTATGCATGAATCTAATAGAATACACAGTATTAAATTCATATCATTGGACACCGTGTATCAAGAAGGCAGGCAGGTATTAGTGATAACTTTCGATAAATATAGGGAAGTCAGAAGTATCACTCTGATCCAAAAACCAGGGCAAATTATGTGATATAAATTAAAATGAAAATAGCTGCGTAGTACAATGGGAAAAGGAAGTCTTGGTTAAGATTTATTTCATCAATCCTCTTTTTTATATAGGATTCATCACCACTGTTCTAGTCTTGAACTGGGCTTACCTGCTGCGTCTGGTACCTTTGTTGGGCCTGGGAGAGGTACTGGGTCTGAGGAGGCAGGTGCTGAGGTTGTGGTTGCTGGTTGTAATATGGCTGTTGGCAGTAACCAGTTATACCTTGTGGACCATACTGAGATGGGATCTGTTGGGGGGGAAAAGCCAATACAGTTAGGAATTGAGGACAAAAATCTATGTGTTTGACTCCTAAAGATCATAAACACAATACCAAATGCCATGGTAAGAAGTCTCTCCCAAGGGAAAGAGTTAATTTTAAATTCAGAGGAATAATTCGATTTGCTAAACTCTATTCTAGAAATATTCTATTAAGGGAAACATACCCCCAAAAATTCTACCAAGCTGGTTTTATTGAATAATTTCTTTTCACGTTATCTGAAACATCCAAAGAAACCATTATCAATTATGCTTGCTCACTGAACTTATGCTCAAGAACAGCAAAAAGATTTCTAAAGAATATTCATAGCTTGCTAGTCAGTAGTATTTATCAGAGAAGTTATCAGAATGGCTTTATTTACACCTTTCAATTTTTCACCTAAAGTTTCTGCTGCATGAATCAGCCCATGTTTCAAGATATAAGAGGAAAAAAATGGAACATAGGTGTATGTGCATACTAGTGTTTTTTTAAAAAAACCATTTCAGTAAGTTTTAGAGAACTATTATGTGGGACCCCATAGTATCCTTAGATCAAAGGACATATTTGAGAGTCGAGATTTTTGAAAAATCAATTAAATGATATACATTTTCAAGTCCTTCCATCTGCAAGGGGGAAGGATAGCACATATTTATAGATACACATTTTGACTGGTGTTTTACTAGTTAAGAATGAAAAGGATCTGTATAAAAATCGAAGATGGGAATAATCACCCCAAAAATATACACAGAAGCTATAAACTGTAGAAAGAAAGACTAAACTGAAAGCCACAAGCAACAAAAAATGAAAACTGTGTTAAAAAGGACCAAAGCAGAAACTAAGTAAAGAGAGATTTAGGGATAATATGGCTAATATGAACAAGCTGAAGTTGGTGGGACCAGATAATTATATCTAGATACCCTGAAGGTCATCTCAGGGAACTGTGAACCTTCTTCCTTCTTTGAAAAATCATAGAGAACATTTACACTTGTGAAAGGATTGGAGAAAGTCAGATATTGTTCTTAATTTCAAAAGAGCGTGAAGATGCAGGTAACTATAGACTGCTTGATGTCAATAACAGACAAAATTTGAAACAAATTATTAAACTGTCAGTTTAACCGCACTAAGAAAATACTGCATCACTCTTCAGTCAGGATGGGCTTATTAATAACAAATTAAGTCAAATTAAACTGATCACTCTTTTTAATAGTGTACTAGTTTAGTCAATCATAGAAATGTGGCAGATAACTTGAGTTCTGAAAATCATGCAAGAAAGTTTGATATTCTAGTAGAAAAGATATGAAATGTGTCATGATCTGTTCTAGAATTAGATGGATTCAAAGTTATTGTACATCAATGACTCCAAGTCAAGTGGGAAGAAAGTATTAAACAGTGTAACTTAGAGGACTGTACTATTCCATGTAGCTATAAATTACTTGAAGGCTGTAAAATATCATTATCTACAGATAACACAAAGCTAAAGGTAATAATAATACTTTAGAATACAGTATCAAGATTCAAGATTTTGACAGTGGGTAGGAAGCAGCAGGCAGCTGAATTAAGGAAGGGAGAAAATTCCTTTTTTAGAAAAGAAAAAGGCAAATAGGACATGGCAAAAAGAAGATGCAACAAGCACAAGGAGCAGCAGTACAAGTAAAAAAAACGTCTTGGTGGATTGAAAATGGAACATGAGAACCGAACAATGTTGAAACTGCAAAAAAGGAAGTGCAATCTGACCGAAATCTAGCACCAAGAAAATATATTCACCTCTATTTTTACACTGGACACAATGCACCAAGAATATTGCATCCAGTTCTGGGCACTACATTTTAGGACTGACATAGACCAACTGCGGAGGTGGTATTCAGCAGGTTCTGACCAGTTCTGGAGAACCAGTAGCAAAAATGTTGAGTAGTTCAGAAAACTGGCAAATACCACCTCTGACTGGAGATTTTACAGTATTCTTCCCCTTCCATGCCCACCAAGCCACGGCCACAGAACCAGTAGTAAAAATTTGTTGGTAATGAAATTTAAGAAAGTGAAAGGTGGAAGAAACTTGAATCCCACCACTGACCAACTGGGACATATTCAAAGTTTACACTTCATAATTTTATAATCAGGTAATACAGTATTATAAGAAAAGTCATAATATTTAGTCAATAAAATCAACAAGTTGCCAGTCCTTCAACTGAATAGAAGGAGCTTCGCTGTATTTGCAGGTTTCAAGGGCTGTTTCCCAACCACAAAATCAACATTATTTAACATACTGAGCCCAGATTTCCTCAATAGCACTGAAGCAATCAGAGGCCTTGTTTAAAGCTATAGTACAAATCTATAGTGACAAAGTAGACTAACTGGCCTTTCCGTAAATACTACAATGTAGCGAGCTTCTGTCTGGGGATGTGGAATTTGCTGCTGCACTGAATGCATTTAAGGAAAATATTTTCAAGCTCTTAAGATGCCCTCCAGACAAAACTTGTTGATGGTGCTACATCTGCCAATAGTCCAGACCATCGTGATGATGGTAATCATGGAGATAAAAGAAATGGAGAAGAGGAAAAAAATGAAATCCAGCAATCTGATAATAATTTTTCTCAATGAGGATTTCTTCTGCTGGTATAGCTATGACAGTTGAAAATAAATTGATGTAAGCGCCAAAGAATGTCTTTTGACATGCATGGTAAATTGGAAATGGGACTTTATCCTATGGAAGTTCCGGAATAGAATACTATGAATGATGACCTCATGTGTGTGTGGTACAGAAAGCACAAAGATCAAATAATGATCTAGTAATGACATAAAAGAACTTGAAAGAAGCGTTTCTCCACCTCTTTTACAGTGAAAGTGGTCTAGGGTTTTTTGTAAAATGGAGTAGGTTTTGTGAAAAGTAATATGCAAAATTGTATCAGGGCTAACATATCCAAATTCAAATTTGTTCTCTTTTATTTTCAATATCAAACAGCAAATTACTTCAACAAGTTCATGCATCTTGCCTGAAGCATCTCTCCACTTCTTAGGTAGTTTTTGGCAGTGGATATGTGAATATTCATATTCCCTATTCCCTTACCTTGACATTAAAATACTTTTCAAGCATTGAATCCAAAAATTAACTCTGTGAACAAAATTGCCATCCACTGATAGTATTAAACCCTTAAAACCTATTGCAACTATTAAATACTTGATTAAATTGTTAGTATATCAAAAAAGAATTTATCTCACTTTTCCATAATTAAATATAGGTGTATTTGTTTATTTGATTTTTAAACTGCTTTTATTTTTGATCAGTTCAAGGCAGTAAAGATACCTAAGCTCCCTCTTCCTCCTACTTTCTCCACAACAAACTGGTTCTGTAACTAGGCATACCTCGGCATGCTACACGTTTTCACAAGATTTAGAAATTGGATGATTGCATACTAAAGCATTACTTAGCAACTTGCAGAAAAATACAGACAAATAATTTTGAAAAGCAAGATTATTACACATTTATTTTTGTTCCATTGCAGGGAGCTTGGATTGAGATCAGCAGATGCCAGTGTAGCAGATTTTAACCTACTGGCCAGGTTGCTCAAGATCTTGCTCAACCCACTGATTTGTGTCCAGAATGCTGGAACAGGTAGTCCTTGTTTAACAATGGCAATTGGGATTGATAACTCCGCTGCTAAGCAATGCAGTCATCAAGCACGATGTCACATGATTACATCAATTTACAATGGTTGTCTAATTAAGCAAATCCTGCACAATCATGTAATCTATCATGTAATCTGCAACTCTTACACTGAAAAAACATATGGACTACACAACTCCATCAGGGCAAAGCAATAGACGCAATCTACATACACTTCTGTAAAGCCTTTGATTCAGTGGTACATGACAAACTACTCCTAAAACTAAAATATTATGGTATCTCTGGACACCTGCATAACTGGATAGAAGCATTCCTGTCAAACAGACAACAAATGGTCAAAATGGTCCTATCAAAATCTCAACAAATAAATGCTCTGTCTTACATATTGGCAAAAAATAATAATCAGAAAATAAAATACAAGCTGAATAGTCAAGATCTTGTTGATGATCCAAGCTCTGTAAAGGACCTTGGAATGCTCATCTCTAATGATCTACGTGCTAGAGCCCACTGTAACTACATAGCCAAAAAGGCATTAAGAGTTGTTAACAGGTGGGCCACGAGAAAATTTTGGTGGGCCACAGAGAAATCTCACCCCCAGAGCAGCCCCCCAAAGCAATTTATCCAGGCTGCGCAGAAACACAAGGCTGCACCACCCACATGGCCCGCAGGAACCCTCCCCACCCACTCACTCCTTACCCAACAAACTTGCCTGCTAAATTGCTATTTTTCCTTTTTCTGACCATCATCTGTTCTGCTGTGCTGGGAGATTTAGATTAGCTAGGAAGCAGGAAATGATTGGATTTCTTGCTTTCTAGCTAGTCTTTAGATCTTCGGCTCTGCTTTTAAGCACAGCCGAACCTCCCTTGGGACTGAAGGTTCTATTATTCAGTGCAGACTCACGGCAAGTAAATTTTATGTGACTCAGGTAGCTGATAGATCACTGAATGATTCTGTGAGCAACTCAATCTGCCTGCCTGCTTTGCCTGATTTTGGGTAAAAACTGCTCTTTTTAAAATAAAAAATTCAATATTTATATAAATATTTATAATATTTACATACAAGCCATGCCCAGCCAGTCACATGCCCAAACCACACCCAAAAATTAGGCCATGCCCACAGAACTGATTAGTGGTCCCTGGTATTTAAAATTATGAGTTTAGTGGTCCCTGAGGTCCAAAAGGTTGGCGACCCCTGAACTATCCTATCACCCATCTCGCCCCACTTATGACTGTATGACTGTAAATGTGTTGCTTGTATCCTTACGATCTATACTGACTGTTTCCTAATATGATTTTATTGCTTATTTGTACCCTATGACTATCATTAAGTGTTGTACCTTATGATTCTTGACAAATGTATCTTTTCTTTT